AGAACTAAGCTCACAGATGTGCCGTAATTTGGTGAGAACACAGTTAAAACTGACACGGAATCCAGGCTTGTCTAACACCAAAGACTTTGCTCTGTTTCACCATAGTGCCTCCAGGAAAGCTGAGTATTACAAACTTACTTCCCAGAGAGATGGCAAACGGGAGGGCAAAAGAGCATGGAACGAGCAATTCCTAGAAAGAACGAAAAACTAATGAAATTTGGGAAACACAAATGAGAGTGAGTATTCATTAATTTTAAAGGTTAAAATGCCCATTCAGGTTTACTGAAGGAAAAGGATAAATACACTTACAGCTTGGAATAAAAACAAACATGCCCTGAAGGAGTTCCAGTTCTGAAAAGGGCAGAATACTAGCGATTCAGTGCAAACGATTCAAAACCGTGATGAAGTTGCACCTCTTCCCCTTCTCTCCCCAGCCTGGATCAGCACACTTGGCAGCCCTATCATTTCTCTCTTCATGGTGTCTTTTGGGTCCACTTTAAGGTCTTTATTCTAAAGACCTTAGAATAAGGTCTTACCTTACCTTATCTAAGTAAACTCTTCTCCCATCTCAAAGCTACATTACTGCCAAAGTCACGTAAACTGGTCTCCTTGTCCACATCTTTGAATCCACCCTCAACATGGGTGCCATTCCAATACCACTGTCTCTGGTGTCTACCCCCAAAAAAGGAGAAGGACTTTGGTTCTAGAATTAAAACACTGCAACTCTGAAGACACAGGCATTCTTCTCATCGGGTCACAACCTACAGTGGTGCCAGCACCTGGCCAATATCAAGTTTAAATTCTGTGGCTGTGCAGTCCAGTTACTACTTGAGTTGGGATCCCGAGGACCACACCCAGGGCTGGGGTCTGGCTGGGACTTACAGAACGTGGGGACAGCTGTGCTCATGGCTATGGTTTATTAGTGCGAAAGGAAACACAGGGAAAGGGCACACAGGGCACAGCCCAGAGGAACCAGGTTTAAGATCCCAGAGATCCTCTCCACGGAGACGAACAGAACACACTGGACAATTCACACCACCTTAAAGATGCGGTGCCCACGTGGGTGATTCAAGTCGAGGTAGGCAAAACCACCACAATATTGTAAAGATGTCCACTTTGGAACAACTATACCAAAGAAATTCTCGCACTGTTAAGAAAGTGCTAGGACCCACAACCGATTTCCCAACCTGGGGTCTGGCAAAGGGACTAAGAACCTGCAGGGAATTTGACTTTGGAGGCCAGTGGGATTTGATTACACAATTTACACCAGACAGGGGAAACACTCTTGGAGGGTACAAAGAAAACCTTGTGAGCACCAGGACCCACGAGAAAGGAGCACTGCCCCAACAAGAGACGGACCCAGACTTGCCTGTGAGCGTCCAGGAGTCTCCAGCAGAGACATGGGTCAGTGGTGGCCTGATGCAGGGTCAGTGGCACTGAATACAACAGTGCAAGCACAAGACAAGGCAGAGGAACCAGAGATCAAACTGCCAATACCCGCTGGATCATGGAAAAAGCAAGACTTGCAAAAAACATCTATTTCTGCTTTACTGACTATGCCAAAGCTTTTGACTGTGTGGATCACAATAAACTGTGGAAAATTCTTCAGGAGATGGGAATACCAGACCACCTGACCTGCCTCTTGAGAAACCTGCATGCAGGTCAGGAAGCAACAGAACAGACTGGTTCTAAATTGGGAAAGGAGTACGTCAAAGCTGTATATTGTCACCCTGCATATTTAACTTATATGCAGAGTACATCATGAGACACGCTGGGCTGGATGAATCACAAGCTGGAATCAAGACTGCCGGGAGAAATATCCATAACCTCACATATGCAGATGGCACCACCCTTATGGCAGAAAGCGAAAAAGAACTAAAGAGCTTCTTGATGAAAGTGAAAGAGGAGAGTGAAAAAGTTGGCTTAAAACTCAACATTCAGAAAACTAAGATCATAGCATCTGGTCCCATCATTTCATGGCAAATAGATGGGGAAACAGTGGAAACAGTGACAGACTTTATTTTGGGGGGCTCCAAAATCACTGCAGATGGTGCCTGCAGCCATGAAATTGAAAGACACTTGCTCCTTCGAAGAAAAGTTATGATCAACCTAGACAGCATATTAAAAAGCAGACACATTACTTCACCAACAAAGGTCCATCTAGTCAAAGCTATGGTTTTTCCAGTAGTCATGTATGGATATGAGTTGAACCATAAAGAAGGCTGTGCCAAAGAATTGATGCTTTTGAACTGTGGTGTTGGAGAAGACCCTTTGAGAGTCCCTCGGACTACAAGGAGATCCAACCAGTCCATCCTGAAGGAAATCAGTCCTGAATATTCATTGGAAGGACTGATGCTGAAGCTGAAGCTCCAATACTTTGTCCACCTGATGCGAAGAACGCCTCATTGGAAAAGACCCTGATGCTGGGAAAGAGTGAAGCAGGAAGAGAAGGGGACAACACAGGATGAGATGGTTATATGGCATCACCATCCCAATGGACATGAGTTTGAGCAAGCTCTGGAAGTTGGTGATGGACAGGGAAGCCTGGCATGCTGCAGTCCATGGGGCTGCAAAGAATCGGACATGAACGAGTTGACTGAACTGACTGAGGGCAAAAACCACCACAGTATTGTAAAGAAATTATCCTCTAATTAAAATTAATTAGTTAATTTAAAAAAATAGTTCAAATTTTTAAATAAGAGTTCAAACTGAAAAAAAAAGAAAAGACTCAGTGCCCAGGGGGTCAGGTCATACCTGCCTAGTACAGGGGTTCAGCATAAACCACACCACCTGCACCTACAGTTCAGGCACAAAGAGCCACTCATCAGAGACTCATTGGCAAACTGCCAATTTCAAGTTCCCAGCAGCTCGGTGCCAACCTCACAAGCAAGTCTGTCTAAAGACGACGTCTCGGGCCTGCTGTGTACTCTGCTCTCGGCACCATCCCTGTTCCCTACTTGCTATTCTCTGCAGGCTCCTTTCCACAGCTTGTCCTTTCCAACTATCCAAATCCAAGCCTGGAAAACGACTTCTCCCCTGCAGCGCTCTGCCCACTTCCCCAGCCTCTCCTCTCCCGTCCTCTGACCCTCTGCCTCCTCTGACGGTTACCACGACGGCTGCTTCATTCTAGAGCACATGGGTTCCTCTCGTACTACAGCCACTCTTCAGGGCTCAACAAGACACAGACTCCCCAGGACTAGTGATGGAGTATTCAGCAAACTCACCGCCAAGAGGCACGTCTATTCCGGGAACACAGACCTTAGCCAGAGACACCTGAGAGCACAAGTCCGCACTTTTCTGTGTGAACCTACACAGAATCCAGGGTACTACCGACGCGACTTTTCAAGGATAGGTCACAGACTAGCAAATTCTGAAGATATGTTTTAAAGAAAAACCTTACTAGTCTTTGGACATTAGCATTTTACTATTTCAAAACCTAATATTTACTCAGCAAATACCCGAAGCATGAATCTTCTCATAGGTTTTTAGCTACAAGGGCATTTACAGTGTTATTGCTTATAATGACAGAAAAATTTAAACTAATACATCTAAAAAGAAATTAAAAGAGAGCCTTCCCTGGTGGCTCAGTGGGAAAGAAGCCACACTGCCAATGCAGGAGACACAGGTTTGATCCCTGATCCAAGAAGATCCCACATGCCGCCAAGCAAGTCACCCTGTGGCCAGCTACAACGACAGAGCCTGTGCTCTAGAACCCGGGGACCGCAGTCACGCAGCCCCCACGCTGCAGCTCCTGGAGTCCCTGCACCCAAGAGCCCACGCTCTGCAGGTGCAGCCCCGCAGGGAGAAGCCCGCACGCGCAAGAGCTGCAGAGAGCCCGCGCAGCACAAGGACCGGCACCGCCAACACGAACACATACATCGGTAATTATCTAAAGATTAAAGTTCATACAGCCATACAGAATGCCATGCACTTATTTTAAAGGTACATACTGATTCAACATTTAAACATTTATGTTTACAACACACTGCTTTTTTAAATTATGAAATAAGTTAGATACCTTATCCTATATAAAAATATTTACATATGGAGAAATAGCAGAAATATATATATGTAACTGTTAATAATGCTTATCTCTATAAGTGACATTAGAGTGATTTCCCAGTGGTTGCCATGGGGGAAAGGCGGTGGAGATGGGATGGATTGGGAGTTTAAGGTTAGTAAGTGCAAACTATAATACTTAGAATAAATAAACAAGGTCCTACTGTATAGCACAGGGAACTACATTCAATATCCTGTGATAAACCATAATGGAAAAGAATATGCAAAAAATGTCTATACATGCATAACTAAACATTCTGCTGCACAGTAGACATTAACACAACACTGTAAATCAAATACAATAAATCTTTTTTAAAAAAGGGATTTCTTATTTTCTTTCTTGTTAGTATTTTAAAACTTTTCCAGAGTGAAAATATCATATAATTAACATTTTGTAACATTAATAAGTGAGATACCTACTAATAATATCAAGTCTGGTAAACACTTATTACAGGGCTCTTTATTACACTGAATTTGCTAATATTATGAATCAGTCTCATGTCCCTTGAGATTTCACACAATGTGAGTCACATAACACAACCTTTTAAACACCAGATCTGTTAACACCAGCATTAATAAAGGTATCATCACTGACTACATGGCTCTGACATGTCAACCAGCACTCAACAGCAGTGTCATTAAGAAAACCATTCTGATCATCATGGGATTAACTCACAGAACATCTTGAACAAAGTAAGTCAATTTCATAGAGCAATTCAATAAAAAGAAGGGCTTCAGTGATAATCTTTAGGACTGTTAGCTTTCACCTATCAGGGTTACCTGCCCACAATAATGTTCCAAATCATTTTATTTATCATAGACAATCACAATTTTGAGCCTTATGTGCATCACTATGAACTGCAAGCTTAAGAACAGCAAGAAAACACCCCACGGATCTCTAGAAAAACAATACCTATTCTTAACTTAGGACATGTTCTTACCTTAGCAAAAAGGTGATCCCTATATTGTTGCTGAGTAACAAAATTTTTATAACATACTACACAAGCAAAGGAACTGATGAAAGGTCCATGCAGTGTAATTGTTGGATCACATGGAGAGTGGTCGAACCTACTTGGCGAAACAGAGGTTAACATTAGAAAATCTGACATATTCTAGGGGCAGTACTATGTTGCTTCATTTGTTAAGTTAGACACACACATTCAAGCCTTTACACTTTTTCTACTGAAGTATTAAATAAGGTTCTTTATATTCAAGAAATATCAAGTGGCTCTCATATGCCATGCAATCTCTTGAAACAGTGACCAACAGCTTAAAATTTCAAAAAAGTACTCAAGATACAATAAAATGGATTTAAGCATATTTTGCCAAATTGGTAAACTTCCAGTCTGAAAACTGTACAGTCATCATACATTTCTTCTGGCAAGGAACAAACTAAAACTCACAAATAATTGTAAATGAATCACTGGAATAATAATGTCATGTCAAGTTCTGGTATATACCTATTTCCTAAAAATGGCTTTTAATCCTTTTAATGTCATTTTAATCATTTAACAAATTTGTGTCATTGAAAACTGCCTCAAAGACTTTTTTAAAATTAAAAACAGTTAAAATACAGTTATCTGTAGAATACTGAACCCCTCTCCAGAAGGCTCTCACAGCAGGATCAGGCATAAGCAGGGTGAGACATCTTGAGAAGGTCGAGAGCCGCAAACTTCAGCTCCCCTCTTCAAACTATAAGAAGGGGAGACTAAGAAGATAAGGACTATTTAACTCCTTTAATATTGCCTTCTCTTGATATTTACTTTCTCAAGCTCTACTATTCAAAATTCAGTAAATTATGGATCTTATAAATAGAACATTTATTATTAACTTTGCTACACTTCGTTTGCCTTTAGCATTTACTTTTCAATGACATATTATCTTTCTTTGGCCTAGCCCACATATCTGTAAATGCTTTGTGTCTCTTAAAATTTGCTAACGGACTCGATTCCTCTAAAACTGATCCACATGTACATCAATGCAAAAAGTCTGGTCAGAATTTTATGAAACATATTAGGACTGAATACCACTAAAATAATCTGACTTCAAGTCTCCTAGGAAGCCTAAGAAATGTATATTAGAAAAAATTGTATCGTTAAGAGTTTGGAACATAAAGCTACAATCACAATGGCAGAGGTGTCTCACACTCTCAGTTCATCTTCAGCACCCACTGTTCTGAACATCACACTTACCTTTTCAAATGTCCTAAGAGAAGGTGCCCATTATCAAATTCCTTGTTACAGTGCATTATGGGACATGAAATTGGTTTCCCAGATGCTCGAATTTGGCTTCCTCTTCGGAATGAACCTTTTGTTCCAGAATTAATCGTGCCTGTTTTGAGTCCTGCATCATCAGAATATAAATTCTTAAGTTTCTATTTCAGGTAACTGTCCTTTGGACTGGTAATCAAAATTATGAAAAAACAGTAAAAAAACACTGGGCAGCATCAAATGGGTGATCCTACTTGTAATTAAATGCTTACAAACTTTCTTATAAAAGATGTAACAACCTACAAATAAATAGCTATTTGGGACAAGGAAAGCCATTAAGATCTCCAAGTAATATTATCTTGAGGAAAAGAACTGTTCCCTTAAGTTCAACAGCCAAGAAATGTCAAAGATGTAATATATTAGAAAACCAGTTGCTCTACTTGCCTCCCTTCTGTTCATTTATATAAGCTGGCAAAGATTTTTTCTTCTATTTCTTATTTTCTCTTTTAAGTATCCTACACACATTAGAAGGTTCAGCTATATAGGCTGTAACTGAGATGGGAAGGGAATGGGGAGGACAAGGAGAATGCCTTCACCAGTTCCTCTGTCCGGTGAAGATTATCCCGTTCCGTCATAATTTTGGTTTTACAGTCAAACAACTTTCCAGCCTCAGCCAAATTCTGTTTCCAGACAAACTCCCAATGCATGTTGTACAGTGAAAAATTTAGAGTTATGTTCTATAAACAAAGAATTTAAAATGTGCTAGAAGGATTCTGATATATAGCTTGATTATTATTTCTTGTAACCTGTTTCACTCAAATACTTTGAATATTTCATATAACAAAAAATTGTGTATTAAATATCTTTATGGCAATTTCTACCAAGTCCCTAAGCATTTAACTAAAATAAAATGTTATACCTTTAACGTCATCTAGTTAAGATCCCCAAATGGTTATCTATGCTGAAGGTTTCAATGCTCTTCTGTTTATGGAAGAAATGCCTCTATTAAATGCTGTCAAAATGCTTATAAATGTGTTCTATCAATAAAGACGAACACAGCATTAATCATATTCAAAGAGGCATTAATGACAATACACCTTTTTTTGCTTTAATTTTTTAATAGTCAGAATTAGAGTAATTTTTACTGTCCATCCACATTCCAAGTGTTGCCTATTAAGACATTTATTTAGCCACAGAGGTTCTGGATAAAAATTAAAGTGGAGAAAGCAATCAATTAGAAGAAAATAAGCTTTATCCAAGGAAAGGCAAAATACAGAGATTTAAACAGCTCTTTTCCTTAAACAGTATAGTGTGTTGTTTTTAAATTACCAAGTACTCAAATGTGCAGAAACTGGTCTAACTATAAAAGTCTATAAAAAAGTTGGATTTCCAAAGCTTGAGTAATTATAAATAATGTACTTAAATTACTTCTAATCAAAGGACTGAATTATAATGGCTGGATACTTTGGAATAGACTGAATGGAGTCCCTTAATGTTACTGAGAAGTAGAATCTCACTTTTTATAACTGACAGCACAAAGACAACTGTTTTCCCCAGCTCTCCACTCCTCAAAGGAACGGCACCACAGCAAGTGCAGCCCAGTGATAAAGCCGCTATGCCAGCAAGAGCCCCAGACTTCAGTGCTGCAGTGTGGCAGGGACCAAGCAAGAAGATGAAACAGCCACATAAAAAGAATGTAACTAAAGACCTCAACTCACAGCACAAGCTTATCAGCCGCCAATGAACCAGATGTGACCTGAAGTGATCTACAGTACCACATCTTGATAAGAATTATAGAGACAGTTAACTGACTCATTTGTTCCCACCTGACCCACTCAGAAAAATATATATTCAGATGCTTGTGAATTCAATTTACAGTGAATTAAAATATTCTGACAACCTGAAAGCCAGAGATTAGGCCTAAAGGGATACAGTACTGGCCCAACAATCATTCTAGACAAGACTTGAAAGTGTAAAGATTCATATGAGAGAAACAATTTTACAAGAGATCTTGTAAGCCTTGTAGTTCTAGACCATTTTTGTATCAAAATCTTCCCAAATCTACAGATGCCCTCTAGAGGTGAGGCCCAGGCATGTATTTAAGATTCCCAGGTGATTCTGATATAGCTAAGGATGGCAATTTTCAAGTAAACTTTTCTAAAGTAGGTCTGGAATACCAAACAATTCTTCTGTTTAGTTGAATGACAGTCACATTTGGAACATGGTTCTAGGCTTCCTTCCTGTGTTCATATGCAAATACTCATCGCCCACTCTGGTATAATATTCAACCGACACTTACTGGACATCTCCGTGCAGAGCCTTCTTCTTAGGCACTGACACTAAAAAGGATTAATTAGGCTTAGCCTCTGTCCCCATAAAGCATATAAATCTAGTGAAAGACACAGAAAGGTAAACATACCAATCCAACACAACAGGGTAAAAACTATAGGCAAAAAATGAATAAAACACTGTGGCATGAAAGACAGCTGGGCAATCAAACTTAGGCAGACTAAAAAACCTAGCACCCTCTAGTACTGAATATAGTACTTACTTGCCTGTGGCTAACCCCACGGGCCAAGTAAGAAAAAAAGGAAAAGGTATTTAAGAGGGGGGATAGGGCAAGGGAGAAGTTTGCCAGGCACAAACATACTGGGAGATAAGAAGGAAATGCAGTGTCAGGAAGTAGCCAAGTGTCAACATGTCTACAAATTCTAGGAATTATTTTAAAAGTGGCAATTTTATTCTGCTCAAAGAAAAGCCCTCTGAAAACTACAGAACAAGATATCCAGGTTCAAAGTTGAGCACTGCATACATAGATTACTTCTAAGACTTTTTGCAACTAAACTTTTGGCTGGATTAAATCCACAGCTAAGGTTTCTGTGAGTAACCCAAGCCTCTAAGGGCTCAGTGGGTCTTCTACAAGACAGGCTAGAAAAGCTGCCAGGATGGGACTGTCCTGAAAGCGTTAGTTGCTCAGTTGTGTCTGACTCTTTGCAACCCCATGGACTGTAGCTCGCCAGGCTCCACTATCCATGGGATTCTCCAGGGAAGAATACTGGAGTGGGTTGCCATTCCCTTCTCCAAGGGATCTTCCCAACCCAGGGATTGAATCCAGATCTCCCACATTGCAGGCAGATTCTTTAATATCTGAGCCACCAGGGAAGCCTCAAGGGACTGTCCTACTGACTCAAACATTTTGCCAAATTATCTGGTGGAAGGAAAATGCTCCACAGTGACTCTCCAGGAATCTCAAGTCTGTAGAGTTAGTAATGAAGAAGTTACCACTGCTTTGATGACCCTCCCATGTCGACACTTCCAACAAAATATCTACATAGGTTGCATGGACAAAGAAATAAGTAAATGCAAATTTTTTCAATCTCAGCTTAAATTCCATTTCCTTACAGAATCCTGACCTCAAATAACCTGTTACACATCCTCACATAGTCACATGTACTATTTCATGTAGGACACACATGAATGAATAAATGAGCAATATCTAATCAGCTCAAGGATTACTTTTATTCAAAATACACTTTTGCCAAAATAGGAAGACAACTGGTAAGTAAAGCAGGCCTCCCGTTAAGTAAATTTCAATACTTTATATACTTACTACCAACTGAATAAACAGACAAAATGCCTTAAGGCTTCAGGGAAGCCTCTGATCTCTAAAGAATACCTGGCATTTTTAACCACTGGTCCACACACAGTCTTGCTGCTTCTGTATCAGAATGTCCTCGAATAAACTCCAATTCTTGTAACCCATGAGCATGCTGAAAATCGATTTTTTCCTAAAGATATTAAGAAAAAAATCAAAGTGTGATTACTAATCTTGTTTCCTTAAGAAAATGATTTTGTCACAACAGTGATGAGAAAATACTGATTATCATTTATCCCTGTAACTCCAAGTCTAGAACTCTATCCTAGGGAGCTACGTCAAACCAAAGTTTCCTGCTCTAAATAAGATGTTGATCCCAATGTCATCTATATTTGCACAAAGTTTTCAACAAGTTAATCTCCAAATAGGGTACTGTTTAAGTAAATTATGGTGTGTACATCTCATTAAAGTCATTAGAAACACTAACCAAACTTTTCAATGAAATAGGAGTATACTATTGATATCAAGTATGTTACCAAATGGTAGTAAATGAATAGGGTCAAATATAAGCAAAGATTATTTCAAGCTATATGTAACTCTGCCTGCAGAGAGGGAAAAAGGCAGAAGATAAATATGACAAACGCCAATAGTTATCTCTGGAATGGAAATATGCATGATTATTTTCATCTTCACATTTTAAAACTTTTTTTTTCAAATTTTCTACATGTAGACTGAAGTATATAGAAGCCTATTAAACATTTGTTCAATGAACAGTGCAAGAGCAGACACTCAGTAGTACTTAATATGTACCAATACAAAACACCTACTGCATCTAGATCAAAGGTGGGCAAATTTTTTCCATAAAGGGCCACAGGATAAATATTTAAGGCTCTGCAGCCCATATAGTCTCTTTTGCAACTACTCAACTCTGCTGCTGCAGCACAAAAGCAGCCATAGATAATATGTAAACAAATGGGTATAGTTGTGTTCCAATAAAACTTTATTTACAAAAACAGGCGGTGGGCCAGTGCCAACTACTAAACTACATGCTTTAGACTTTTACAGTCTCTAAATCTTTCTAGTTATGTTACTGATAAATCTATTTGCATACTCTCATCATGCTGTATCTATAGGTTGGTACAAAAGTAATTGTGGTTTCAGACCATGAATTTTAAATCATTATAACTAGGCTCAACACATCTTTATTAATCAAAATAGGAACCATTACAATCAACACATTTTTGCCAACAAGAAATGTTTGTTTATTCCTGTAGCATAAAAATCCATGCTTTGGGACTCAACGAACTCTTGGGAAACATTTTCTGCCTCCTGCTGGTTGTGGAAATGTTTTCACAGCAAAAAGTTGTTGAGATGCTTGAAGAAAGTGGTAGTTGGTTGGTGAGACATTAGGTGAATACGGTGGATGAGGCAAAACTTTGTAGCCCAATTAGTTCAACTTCTGAAGTGTTGGTTGTGCAATGTGTAGTCCAATGCTGTCATGGAGAAGAACTGGCCCCCTTCCTGTTGACCAATGCTGGCGCTAGGCACTGCAGTTTTTGGAGCATCTCATCGATTTGCTAAGCATACTTCTCAGATGGAAGGTTTCACCGGGATTCAGAAAGTTGTAGTGGATCAGACTGGCAGCAGACCACCAAATAGTGATCATGACCTTTTTTTGGTGCAAGTTTGACATTGGGAAGTGCTTTGGAGCTGCTTCTCAGCCCAACCACTGAGCTGGTGTCACTGGTTGTCATAAAAATCCACTTTTCATCGCACGTCATAATCCAATCAAGAAGTGATTTGTTGTTACTGCATAGAATAAGAGAAAACACTTCAAAACAACAGTCTTTTTTATTTGGTCAGCTCACGAGGCACCCACTTTATTGAGCTTTTTCACCTCTCCAATTTGCTTCAAATACTGAATGTCCATAAAACTGTCAATGCTGAGCTCTTCAGCAACTTCTTGTGTAGTTGTAAGATGACCAGCTTCAATAAGGGCTCTCAGTTGGTCACTGTCAACTTCCGATGGCTGGCCACTATGCTCCTCATGTTCAAGGCTCTGTTCTTCTTTGCAAAACTTCTTGAATCAGCACTGCACTATACGCTCGTTAGCAGTTCCCGGGCCAAATGCATTGTTGGTGTTGCGAGTTGTCTCTGCTGCTTAATGACCCATTTCAAACTCAAGTAAGAAAATCACTTGAATTTGCTTTTAGTCTAATATCATTTTCCACAGTCTAAAATACATATAAAATAAACAATAAGATATCAGAAAAAACAACAGCAAAAAATGTGCACTAAAATGATGCATAACATAACCACACTTATTTAAGAATGTATTTCAATATCAAATGGCAAATTTCAACAATGCAAAACTGCAATTACTTTTGCACCAACCTAATGACAATTAACACTTATTAACCACTTACCATGTGCCAGACACTATTCTGAAAGCATCTTAGATCTAATTCTCTCAATAACTCTGTAAGATGGGTACCAGTATTATTGCCATTTTATAATGGGAAAAATGAGGCACATGAAGTTCAAATAAACTGCACAAGGACAAACAAATGCCAGGATTTAAACTCTCATTCTCTAACCTGATTCTAGAACTCATGCACTTAACCAGTACACCACACTGTATCTTAAAAAGGTTTTTATATCCTTAAAAAGAAATCACAAAGCCACAAACGCTAGATTTGCAAGAAACAGACCAGGATACTGAATGACCTTGTTAGCAATGTAACAGGATCTTCTGTCAGCACAGGTAAGAGGGGGACAGGGAGATTCAAGATTGTAATCTGACAAGAAATCAGCTACACAACACTGTTCTAAGTATAGCCAAAGAGTACTAATTCTCCAAAGATGCTAACGTGCATTATATAGCTATTCCTTCACATGTTAGGGGTATATCCCCTCTTGCGAGTCATTTTAACTCCTGGAATATCAATAAGCAAACCTAGTAAACTAGTCAAGCACAACACATTATCTCTGAAAGTGATTTATTCAATGAAGATTTTAATAGATTTTATTTTTTTAAAAACATTTCCATCATAAAAGAAGGACAATCCACTTTAATAGTGAGATACCAAAAATCAAAATGCCTAGAAGAGCTGGAAGATATTTTCTACTATATTTTGTAGTCACAGTTAACACCTACTACAATTCTTCAATAATTAGTTTTATCATCTTTCTTTCTAGGTAGTTTGTTTTGTTTTTGTTTTCTGTCCTCTATCAATAGTTTTTTAATAAGTTATATATAAGGAGAACCAAATTTTCAAAAAATCATGAATGAATAGCAAGCAAGGAGCTAAAGAACCTGTGTGAGTCAATTTCTCTCTTAGAAAGAAGTCTAGAAAAACGTATTCTTTAAAATTGGGTAAACAAGAATTTCAAAGTTATAAAAAACTTTCTCCAACAACAAGGTAAAATCTTTAATACAATGAATGAATGTTTGCATAGGTAAAAGCTGAAACTACACTTGAGAAAAACCCTTGTTGTCACAGCAACTACTCTGAACTCATCACAAAAGCAGTGAGCATCACTGAGGAAATGGGTAGAAAAAGAGGATAGCTTGATAACCACTCCTCTCTGAGACTTTCCCCATACACACACACACTTCATGTAATTTGGGGAAAGAAGCTTCCTTAAAAATGAATAGTGTCTCTGCCAGGAAAGAAATAATCTTTAAAAAAAAAAAAATCACTAATGTATGAAGCATTTTAAACATACAATTAGAATACTATGCTCTAGTTTAATTGGTATTACATTATAAAGTATTAATAAAAGTCCCCAAATAAAGGTACTTCTAAATTTAAAGATTAAGGTATTTTGCATTAGATTAGGAGATACTAAAACAAAGGCAACAGAAATATATAAATTCCTTTATAATAACCAACGGAAAAAGGAAGCAAAAATATACATGGTAAAATTATGCTGTGATTTGTTTATTTCCATTTTTAAACTCCCAATAGGAAAGTTTTTTCACTCAACTGGCCAACATTTTACTCTTAATAGACATTTGGCAGTATTGGGAGAATTCTCTAAGGTAATTTCATTTGGTAACCTTCTAAAAAATCAAGTCAAAGTTTGAAAACATTTATATCATGCAAGATTCTAAATCAGGCTTCATCTTCCACTGCCCTAATTCAATAATCGAAGGAAAAGGTTGAAGTGAAAGTGGTCTGGCTCTACTGCATAGAAGATAACCTTTCAACAGCTTGTATCTATAGAAGCCCTGATAAACTATGATAAAGTAACTAGAAACTTATATAATCCCATGAGTTTAAATTCCCAAAATAAAGCCCACTCAAGTCTATTTTTTCTTTTTCTTTTTTTTTGGTCTGTATACATATATGATCAAAATCCAACAAACAAAAACAGATATAAAAAGCCATCATGAACTACCACTAAATCCGTTAAGCTATGAAGATTTCATGCTGAACTTGTATCCAATTATGTATCTTTTGATTATTTAAGTGTCTATTTAACTTTCTTACAAACAATTCTATAATCTGGTAAAACATCAATGAAAGCAGCCACAAAAAAAAAAAAAGAAAGAAAGAAAGCAGAAACATACCCTGAATGCCCTATTCTTTTCTTCTTTCTGCTGTTTCTCCACTTCAACATGGCGGGCTAGGCGTGCCAGAGTCAAGGCGACCTTATCCTTCTGATGGTCAATATGGTCTTTATGCTTATCCTATAATTGAAAACAATTTTCATTCCTTTTAGGTAACAAAATTAGCTTTGGGATTACATATATCCATTTACCAAAGAGTTACTATACTAAAGAACCATTTATGGAACTTCCCTGGCAGTTCAATGGTTAAGACTCTGTGCTTCCACTCCAGGGGGCATGGGTTTGATTCCCAATCAGGAAGCTAAGATTCCACATGCCATGTAATATAGCCAAAAAAATAAAAAGAACCACTTACTTTTTTAAATTTAATTTTTATTTTATCTTGGGACACAGTTGATTTACAATGTTGGGTTAGTTTCAGGTATACAACAAAGTGATTCATTTACACATATACACATATCCATTCTTTTCAGATTCTTTTTCCATATAGGTTGTTACAGAATATTGAGTTCCCTGTGTTACACAGCAGGTCCTTGTTGACTAAGGAACTATTTACTTTTAATATTATCAAATTTCTAAGAACTTCTTTTGTTTATGTTTAAATTGTGGTAGTCTGCAGGACAGCTAATCACCCACCAGCACCTCTGATTTTCACAAAGTTACATAACCTATCAATCATCCTTATATCCTTTTCTTTCTAGGTTTATTCATTTATCTTTTGTCTGTGGTGGGTCTTTGTTGCTTGCATGGGCTCTCTCTAGCTGCAAGTGGGGGCTACTCTTGCTGAGGATAGGCTCTAAGGCGAGAGGGCTTCAGCAACTGCAGCACACAGCCTCCGCAGTTGCAGCTCGTGGACTCGAGAGTGTGGGCCACAGTAGTTGTAGCCCATGGGCTTAGTTGCTCTGTGCCATGTGGGATCTTCCCAGAACGGTGACCCTTGCATTCCAAGGCGGATTCTTTAACCACTGGACTACTAGAGAGGTTCCATCTTTATTTCCTTTATAACCATCTGGATACTGAAAAGTTTGGCTCTGCTTTGCTCTGAGCCTATAAGGTAATCTTGAGCCATTAGTCCACCCGCTAAAAGGTCTGACAGCACAAACTCTTGGCTCTGGATTTTCAGCAATCCCTGGGCAGTATGTATATAAGAGAAATTATTGATTAAAAAGAAATGATCTAATTTCTGTTTTCTGGCCCAACATACAAGGAAGAACCTTAGAAGTCGCCACTCAATTATAACAAGTAAAAAGGTTGAATGAACTGTGAAGTCAGCTGAGTGGAGCAGAAACCCATGCATGGAAACCTCAGAGGGATCAGTGCTGGTTGGGGACCCGGACTGGAACTGACCAGGTGCTGGGAGCTCAGTGTGGACAAGTTTTAATCAGACTTAAATGCCAGGGGAACTCAGTCATGGGAGGACCTGACCCTCTTGTGAGGTCCTTCAGAAGCTTTACCAGGTTCTCAGTGATGACTGAAGAAAAATCCCATCATGTTTCCAGTAGGGGGGAGAAAAAAGCGAGTGTTTTGAAATATGTCAGAGCATTAAGTTCTTACTGATGCGTGACCTTCAGAGAAACTACTTCATGAGAAACTACAACCTGAGAGACGGGAAGCAGCCCCCCTCCCAGGAGAGTGGAAGGCCTGGGAAGCCCCGACACGGCTCCAGTCCAGGGACACAAGCTCCCCAAGGTGGCGGCCAGTCACACAGAGCACCAGCCTTCTGTCAATGCAGTGCCTTTACCTGGGACAGCATGGCCACTTTCCACAGGAAAACTACAAGGAGACCAAGGGCAGAAGTACAGTTTGAAGAGCAAGCAAAGAATGGCAGAGCTGGTACGGATGTTGGAATTATCAGACCAGGAATTTAAAACTACCAAGATTACTATGCTGAAAGCCTTAATGGAAAAAGCAGGCAACACGCAAGAACAGATGTGTAATGTAAGAGAGATGGAAATCCTAAAAGAGAACCAAAAAGAAATCAGACATCAAAACACCACAACACAAGTGAATAATGCCTTTGATGGTTCACCACAGAATGCACACCACCAAAGAAAAAAATCTCTGAGCCTGAGAGTATGTCAACAGAAACTTCCAAAACTAGAAGACAGAGGGAAAAAGACTGAAAAAGAAAAATATATATATAAGAACCACTGGGCTTCCCTGGTGGCTCAGCTGGTAAAGAATCCGCCTGCAATGCAGGAGACCTGGGTTTGATCCCAGGGTTGGGAAGATCGCCTGGAGGAGGGCATAGCAACCCACTCCAGTATGCTTGCCTGCAGAATCCCCACGGACAGAGGAGCCTGGCAGACTCCTGCCCATGGGATCACAAACAGTCGGACACACCTGAGTGACACAGTCCACGGGGTCGCAAAGAGGTGGACACAACGGAGCCACTGAGCAGAGCAGGCAGGAGGACTGGTGGAGAGGTGCAGCCAATGTCTCTACAGCAGGAAGGCCAGGGGAAAGAGAGAGGACAGAGAGACACCTGACGCTATCACAACCAAGAATCTCCCCAAGTTAACAGCAGACACCAAATCAAAAACCAAGGGGGAAATAAAACCTTTCTCTGCAGATGACGTGCTTTTCCTAAGAAAATGACATGCAAATAAACCAAACAGTAGTTAGGGGTGAAGTAACCTGGGTAATGAGACATTTACAGCAGTTTTATTTATAACCTTAGAAGCAACCAAGCACCTTCAGTAGGTAAAGGGATAACTGTACGTATCCAGATGATAGAATATTTTTCACTGCTAAAAAGAAATGAATACTCATTGGAAGGACTGATACTGAAGTTCCAATACTTTGGCTACCTGATGCAAAGAGCTGACTCATTAGAAAAGACACTGATGCTGGGAAAGACTGAAGGCCAGAGAAGGGGACGACAGAGGACAATGGCCTCACCATCACTGGCTGGATGGCATCACCAACTCAATGGACACGAGTTTGAGCAAGCTCCAAGAGATGGTGAAGGACAGGGAAGCTTGGCGTGCTACAGTCCATGGAGTCGCAAACAGTGGAACATAACTGAGCGACTGAACAACAAAAAAGAAATGAGCTACCAAACCTTTAGAAGACATGGAAGAATACCTAAATACACATTCCTAAATGAAAGTAGCCAATCTGGAAACACTACATACTATATGGTTCCAACTATATGGCATCCTGGAAAAGGCAAATCTATAGTGACAATTAAAAAAAAAAAAAATCAGTGGTTGCCAGGGGAAGGTGAGATGGAGGGATGAATTGGCAGAGTACAGAGGATTTTTAGGGTAGAAAATCTATTCAGTATGACACTATACAGGTAGGTATCTTATTACATTTGTTCAAACTCATAGAAAATATAACTCCAAGAGTGAACCCTAATGTAAACTATGGACTTTGGGTGATAATGCGTCAACAAAAGGCTCACTGATTATTCCAAATGTACCACTATGTTGGGGCAAGTTGATAGTGAGGGAAGCTATACATTGTGGGCAGAGGTATATGGGAAATCTCTTCTTCTTTTTTTGCTGTGAACCTAAAATAAAGTTTTCTTAAAAAATAAACTCTACTAAAAATATTTTCTACAGAAAGACTGGTTTAGTAAGATATTAATTATACGCGTACAAACCAAAGTTTATCTAAAGTGGGATAGAGCTGCTTCAACCAAATCAAGCAGCAGGTGTGATTTTGAAAGCACACGGGAGTTCCACTGAACTGAGCACATATAACAAGATGGATTGGGATTTTTGGAAGGCTACATTTTTGCAGTAAAGAATGTTCACAGGGTCACTCTGGGTGGAAGTAGTCCCACTTGGCCATACCACAGCACCAGACAGTAGCCGGCATCCTACCAACTTCAAAATGTCCTTTTACAAGTCAGAGGACAATGCAGGGGGTGTGGGTTGGATCTCTCTCTGGTCACAGAGCTAAGATCCCACAGGCCTCACAGCCAAAAACCCAAAACATAAACAACAGAAGCAATACTGTAACAAATTCAATAAAGACTATAAAAATGGTCCACATTAAAAAAAAAAAATCTTTCAAAAATGAAAGCAAGCAGAAAGGCAGATCTGGGAATAGCATAATCTGTTGGGAGTAGATGAAAAGAAATGGCAGCTAGAGAAAGGACGAACTTCAACTTTGAAATCTTTGCATTTAAAAATGATAAAACAGAAGTATTTTAAGCAGGAATGTTTTCTCTTAAAGGGAAAAGAAATAAACCATGTGCAGCAGGGTGATATTCATTTGATACTTTACTACCACAAACTTGGGTTTGGGGATCAAGGTTTTTGGTTTTTGGTTAAAGCCAGGCATGAGTGGGTCATCTACGAATACCCACTCTCTCCAGAAAGCCAAGTCCCAGGGATTTCCATGCTTAGTGATCCAAGACAAGGGCTGGCCTCAGATCTCACTGAATCCCATTCTTCTGTGCTTCTGGGAGAACCACCAGCATTGAAACAACAGAGGGAACACTGATATTAAAATGCATGCTAGGGAATTCACCCATGAAGTCAGAGAAGGCCTTATTTGGGACAGAAGTTTAACAGGTAATCCAAAGGTTCAATAGGTTCAGAAGTAAATTTTAAATGATCAGAACTCAGGGGGAAAAACTTACTGCAGGCCACCTTGTTGCCGACACAACTATAGAACCAAAGATTCAGTATCATCAGGCACATGAGCAGAAACTGAATTAATTTCAGGCTAGATGAAAATGTCTTAAATGTTTCCTGTAGAACTAAGATGAATATGGACTAATATACTCTTCAGTTTGGGAATTCCCACCATTCCATTAGTGCCACAATGATTGCAATTTAAGGTGAACTCACAAAATTCCAGGACTCTTCTTAGGCTAGATTTGGCAGTCTCCCCAAAATCCTATAGTCTAAAGAAGTGTTTAGGCCCTTGGAGATTTTTTCTAAGAAAGGTCAGGCTTTCAGATATGTAACTTCTCAAACTAGAAATGGAACTAGCTCTGGTAAGAACAATGTGCTTTACGTTTCATTTAGAAAGTTATTCACAGCTGTAGATCCTCAGTCATCCTTCTTGAAGTACTTGCTGTGATTACCCTGGGTTAACTTCTATATTAAATACTACTACAGAGTAACATCGGAGAAGGCAATGGCAACCCACTCCAGTAC